CTCCACCCATGTGCATTGGAGTCCCACATCTCATGCCTCCCAACATGAGGGCAGAATGGCCTCAAGCACCTCTCCATTCCCTCTGCTTGCCCATGGCAGGAGGTCAGAACTTGGCAGCATCCACTTGTTACCCTGAAATGCCCTTGCATCACATCAATTTTGTAATGTTATAATTATTGTAATTAGTTATTAGTTATTCCTATAATTAGTTTAGAAGATTGATCTGACTTAGGCAGAAAAGCCAACTCCTGGGCATCCGTACAACTGCAAATAGCAAGCCCTATTTGCTAAATATGACAGCTGAGATACAGTATCACAATTCATTGACAAGCTCTCCGGAAGTGAGCTGACTTGCAATCTACCCTTCCGGAGGGACAATTAGTAGCCAGAATTTCCCCCAGAGAGCCCTGAACACCTCTGATACAGCAGCCACATCAATGTCTATAGCCATCACCATGTGATGGGAAACCTGAGGTATCCCCAGAGCAGTCCAAATGGCTAGAGAAGATTTCCCCTTCAAAGGTTGAGGTCGTGGTGAAATGTTATCCAAGGGATTATTAGCAAGCAAGTGAAATCTTAACTCTCTATATACTGAAGATGTATAGTTTAGACTTCCCCCATAATTGTTTTCAAAAGGATACCATACTGATTTGTTTAACAATGCAAATGCAAAAATAGTAAGAGGTAGTTCTCAGCATGAACTAGCTGTGAAATATTAAATTTTACCTCATTTCTCAGCATATAATTAAAAAGTTACTGCTACAACAGTAGCATGCATATTGGCAGCACAGAATTGTAAGCCCAACCGACCACACTTCAGAAGGAAGACAAACCCATCCCTGGGGTTTGGATTTTTATTGCTCTTCTGACTCACGCTAAAAGCATGAGTCACCAGAGCAAACAGAACAGGTTCTAACTGTTTTTAATCTTAGTATCCAGGTTCTACATATAGAAAGCCTCTCCCTTTGGAGGCCAGACAGGTCCCTTATTCCCAGAACAGATTTGACAACATAGGGGAAGGCACTTACTTTGCTTGGCTGACACTTCTGTTTCAGTCATTTTCTCCCTAACCCGGACAAACCAAATAAGAAAAGAAATTGTGCCCTTCTGCTTCAAGGACCTCCCACTACCCAGCAAGAAGCATGTGGTTTTGAAAGCACCAATCTCAGTCCCCTGGCTGAAATACCTGATTTCTAGCTCCACTGCTTATTCCTGGATATATCCCGCTGTCTTGTAGACAGGGAGATATTTTTATTAAAAAGAGGTGTTTTTTTAACTATAGAATTTTCTCCTGTTACTTGCCAGAGTACACCTGCCCACAGGATGAAGTCCCAAAATAAAATGCCTAGGCTATAATTTGCTCCTAGTCTGATTTGTGATTATAGTTTAGTATTTTTTATACATAAGAAAGGTTAAAAGCCATTATGTTTACTGTATGTGGTTTTATATAAAAAGCTTAAGTATTTCTTTTCAGAAAATGCCAGTTTTGATAGAGGCCAAGTATATAAAAGCATAGCTGCTCAGTTTTGCTACAGTAAGTCTTTTCTCACTGGTCCCTATGTAGATAACTGGAATATTATAGACAGTGCTAGTAGCAGCTCGTATAGTTAAATTTGCCCAACACTTTACAGTATAAGGTTCCGTTTTAGTTGCTTGTAATGTAATCAAAACGTTAACCAGTTATGCTGAAGATTTATACACCAGGTGTCTCCTTCAGGCCAACGATTTTGGGGGGCAGGTTTCCACTAAACCGGTTGAGCCATTTTCAGAAAGCAAGTTAAAGAAAATTATGCCATTTTATCCATGGTAAGAAGATTCTTAAAATGGTTTTGCAGGGAAGGTCTAGCACCTCTAGACTTTGCAACAGAGCTTGAAATTTTGCAGGGGGAGGCAGTGACAGAGTGCTGGGAACTAGCACCTATTGAAATCCCAGGAGTAGGCAGCCCCATCAGAAGGCTCTTCCCCCAGCCTAAGGGGAGGAGGCACTAAAACCAAGGTTCAAATAAAGTCGGGGGATAACAAATGACAAAGCAGGAACAGGAGTGTGGGTTACAGGGTCAAAAGCAGGGAGCCAGAAAGGGACACTGAACAGAGAACCACGGACAGCGCCCACTGCTCCTCGAAAGTATCCAAGGAGCCAGCGGACCCTGCCCAGAGGAACTCGGTTTGGATACATGATCTAAGAGAGGAGTGGAAATAGGCCCCACCGTCGCAAAGCACCTCCCCATCCAGCATCCTCCTCCTGGTGTGGTGGATGGCGACTTCATGGGGCCACAGATGGGGTGTGGGTAAATCAAGTGGTGCGAGGAAAAGTGCAGCCAGAACCTAAGGAGAAGGTTCTGGGGGAGCTGTAACCTGGCGAAGAGGCTACTTGTGAGTATTAGAAGGCAGATCCAAGAAGAGCACCTTGCACTTGGAGTGGAAGGTGGTGAGGTTTGCAGTGGTTGCTAGTTACTGTGGGAGTTTATTCCACAGTCTCACAGAAAGCTCTGTCTCCTGCACAGATAAGCTCTACCGTTAAGGTAAAAAGGTTGATTGTGCCAGAGTTGTTGCCCATGGTCTTCAGGACAGAACTTTGGGCAATCATTTAAAATGTACCAAGTATCAAGGGGTAGCCGTGTTAGTCTGTATCCACAAAAACAACGAGGAGTCCGATGGCACCTTAAAGACTAACAGATTTATTTGGGCATGGGTCAATGGAGTGGCTCAAGACAGTTTACCTCCTTGAAAATGAGGCCCAATACCTTGAATTTGATTATTCCTTAGAAAGCCAGTGGAGAGCACAGGGGACAGGCCTGATGTGCTTGCAATAGCCAGCATTGCTGAGGAGGTGTATAGCAATGTTCTCTATAAGCTGGAGTTTAATATGGGCTGATAGCTTCATGGCCAAGTATATTGCATTGCTGTAATCCAGACAGGAGCTGACAAGTATGTAAAATGAGGCATGGTCATTATTTACCAGGATGTGATGGAGTTGCTTAGCCAGGAACACTCCTTAACTCATGTCCATTAAATCAGGCCTGGGACAACACACAGGACAATGGAAGTAAAACAAAGTATTCAGGGAGCACATTATATTCTGTACACTAAATAAGGCAGCAGTCCTGTGGGAAAGCTAGTATGTGATTATGTAATTAAGGACTGTAATGTATGCACCGAATGGGAATGAATTAAGGTTGCAGAAGCAATTCCTAAGTGTTTGAGTGCTTGACTTTACAACCTTAATATTCTTTTAATGTCGTTTTTTGAATGTAATTGTTGATATATTCTTACATCGTGCTCTTCATTTGGAGAGCTGTACATTCTAGAACCACAGCAAGACTGAAAAGAGTCAATCCTCCAGGAAAAGAGAATGAACTAACCCTGCAAGAAATGGATCTTCACTACTCTCTCTTTCCACCAAGTTGCTGATTGGTTCTTGAGCCCAAAATGGGGTGAGAGAAAAGAGGCCTCATGCCTGTCTACTTAAACACCTTTTACATAGAGTCTAGTACTTGTACTGATTCCTGCCCCAGGAACATCCAGTTCTGGTGGGTCTAGGTCAACTCTTGACATTCAGTATCCTAACACTTTAATCCCAAGGTTGCTAATGGTGTTGAGAAAGTTATTTTGAATTATTCCAGCACCATTATCAACCGCTCCATTTATGTATCTCCAGACAATATTTCGACATGAGCATATTAAAATGGATGGTTAAACTAGAACATGTTCTGCTCCTGGAATGGGTGTATCTAGATCAAACTATATTCATTTTGGCTAAAGACACAGGGCCCTGTCCTGCCCTTGTGGGCATAGTCAAGACTTCCATTACAATCACTCGGATTGCTTCTGCTTATTCAAGGGAAGAACGGGGTCCTCCCTGCATAACAAGAGTGATTTATAACATTGTTTTGATGGATCAGGCCTGCATTTGTAAGTAGAAACTTACTGAGGCAAGAACAGCTATCCAAACTCAAGCAGACTAACATGGCTCTAGGAGTTGCCCATGTCAAGGCATACGTGAAGTGGACCTGCACAGCAGTTTTACTTTTGCATTTGAGAGCAATAGACCAGTCATTACATGCAGGGAGGAGCTCTCTTCTACCTCAATTGAAATTAGTACCACAATCCAATTACTTGTGTTTGAGGTGAGCTCAGCACTGAAGGAGAGAGGCCCTGCCCCCCTCTTTTGGGTTGCCTACAAAACTACGCATGGACAATATTCTACATTAGTTTAGAACAGGGAGATCATTTGCTCATGTGAAAGAGGAAGAATGTTCTTTCACATGTACTAGCCTTTGTAATCCTATAGTAGTCCTTGAAAAATTAAACAATTGTGCATCTCATGTTAATTTTGATTTACATTTTCAGTCACTTGAGTTTACAAATAATTTCTACAACAGGAAAATGTTTACATTTCAAAACTTGGGTAGATTAAACTCATTCAGCTCAGAGTTTACACACAACCAAAATTAAAATGTAGCCAGACCAAGCACGGAAAGTTTCAGGTCAATGAAGACTGGGGGAACTGGTCTACATTTAGTGTGCAGCAAGCTGGGGTGTGAATGGACAGCGCACTAGCTTATCATGCACTAACTGGCTCTGTGGACCCAGCTACCACAAACTATAAAGTTACAGTGGGAGTATATCAAACTGCACTACAGAACTCATCGTCTATGGAAGCTGGGCCCACAGGGCCAGTTAGAGCGTAGCACTTAACTAGCTGTGCAAGCAAACCCTGGGTGTTTACACTGAAACACACACACACCAACTGTCACAAAAGTATACACACAAAGCTTTGACTCACATTAAAGCAAACTTAAGTAAATGTTATCTCACAGCTAAGGCATATACAGGTTATAATATGTAATATCCCATAATAGGTGAGTATTTTCACTAACTCACTTGGATCACTACAACAGAGACTAAAGGTTGTAAGTCACCTGAGTCCTTTCTGAAAAAATAAATGAAGAGACACTAGGTGTCACATATGTGTATTTAAAATGTAAAGCCAGCATAAAAGTTACATTGCTTATAGTTGTCAGTACCTAGTTCAGTTACAAGAATGTCATTTATTAGATTTTAAAAAGATCCTTTTCCCCTCTGACAGTTTAGAGGTCATACCTGCTCATTAAAAAGATTCTCCATTATAAGAGACAGATTTGGAAAAGCTTAATACACAAGCTTCTTTGGTATTTCCCATGTAAATTCTTCTCTTCCAAAGTGCCCATAACATGCAGTCTGTTGATATATTGGTCTCTTCAAATCCAGTTCCCTGCATAAAAAGAAACAGAAGATGCAAGAGAAGATGCAAGTATATTAGTGCATCAAGATACTCTGATGCCTTTCTCATACGAACAAGGGGAATGATTTTAACTGACAGTGCAAACTATAATCTCTCCTCCATGAAATCATCCAAATTTACAAAGGGAACAGCAGCCACAGAATGGATTCAGGGTCCATTTATAGCCCTTGAAAACCAACAGTGGAATGCCTGAAAGTCTAACTATCAGAGGCAATATCAGGATGCAGCTAGTAGCAGAAACATACATAAATACCTGATGTCAGCTAAGAATGTATCATCTACCAGAAGGTTATGATTTGGATCACCTAGCTCAGCCACAATGTTCACAAAATGTGCCTATGGACTTGAAATGTTTTTCTCCTATGCCTGTGCAAGTCTGTGGACGGATGCTTTGTTCATTTTAAATGTAACATAGGGTATATTCAAATGTAGCCATAACACAAAGACAGATCATATCCTCATGTAGGAAACATCCAGGAAAGGACCTATGAAGGACAGTACTGTACTTCCACATTAGTAAGTCTAAACACTAAATACCAATTTTCACAATGAACGTGGGTTCTGCCAAATGAATATTTTCCAAGCCAGCTAGTTTTTGTCTACACTAGGGTTTTGACCTGCTAACAGCCATCAGTAGATAGATGCCAGCATAGCTGCACTGATGCAAGACGCAAGTGACAGGCAAAGCCGCTTTTTGCATGGGTGGAGCTTAACCCTGCTTGCAACCAGGGTAAATTGCACTAATGCAAGTCTAGTGTAATAAGGGTTTACAGTGCCTATACTTGGGGTTTACAGCTACTGTAATGGTCAATCTCTGATTTAAAAATGTTATTAAAGCTAATGTTAAAAAAAATTATATAATACAAAGGTTGGGGAAAGAGTGTTTGCACATCTGGGTATAGTGCTTAGATTATCCACAAATACAGAATTAGTTTTTAAAAGTCATATGATACATAGAGTACATAATCAGCAATAACCCAAATTTAGGTGAATAGATTTAACAATACAGTTTAGATATTAGAATCCGAATACACGGGTACATCACTCATGAAACGTTGCACGGAGATTTGGTTGTGGAAAGCAAAATATATCAGTGAGTGGAGATTGTCCCTCAGTAATTGAAAATTAGGTTGGTTGTCCATTAGAAAATACAATCCACGAGGAAAGTATTTGTTACTTTCCTGACTGCGCTTCTCATCGACACACCAGCTCACCCTCCTGGTATTGCCGATGACCAGTGATGTGTTCTATGTAGATATCCCTCAACCACCTGATGGCATCTGACACCATGAGTTACCGCATCAGCCAAGCGTAGCGTTGACCAATTCCGCATTCTGTCAGCACTCGCTCGTTACTGGGGTCCCCTGCGCCTAAGGCTCTGATGATCAGTGCGTGTGTCTGGACCTGGTAACCTTTAGCTCTCAAGGTTTCGGCCAGAGGGGCATATTTCTCTACACTGGATTTGTGTCCCAATATCAGCCAACGTCTGAATCAATATGGGCCCTTACTGCATTTCACTGTAATGAAAGTTTCATTGAATCCAGGCTCACTGTACTTGTTAATCTTTATTTGAAGGGTTTATGTTGAATATAGGCAATTGCTTACTCTACTGTTCTTAAGCTAATTTCCTCTTGAGCACCTTATTCATAGAATATTAGGGTTGGAAGAGACCTCAGGAGGTCATCTAGTCCAATCCCCTGCTCAAAGCAGGGCCAACACCCACTAAATCATCCCAGCCAGGGCTTTGTCAAGCCAGGCCTTGAAAACCTCTAAGGATGGAGATTCCACCACCTCCCTAGGGTAACCCATTCCAGTGCTTCACCACCCTCCTAGTGAAATAGTGTTTCCTAATATCCAACCTAGACCTCCCCCACTGCAACTTGAGACCATTACTCTTTGTTCTGTCATCTGCCACCACTGAAAACAGTCTAGATCCATCCTCTTTGGAAACCCCCCTTCAGGTAGTTGAAGGCTGCTATCAAATCCCCCCTCACTCTTCTCTTCTGTAGACTAAATAACCCCAGTTCCCTCAGCCTCTCCTCGTAAATCATGTGCCACAGCCCCCTAATCATTTTTGTTGCCCTCCTCTGGACTCTCTCCAATTTGTTGACATCCCTTCTGTAGTGGGGGGCCCAAATACTCGACGCAATACTCCAGATGTGGCCTCACCAGTGCCGAGTAGAGGGGAATAATCACTTCCCTCAATCTGCTGGCAGCGCCCCTACTAATGCAGCCCAATATGCCATTGGTCTTCTTGGGAACAAGGGCACTCTGCTGACTCATATCCAGCTTCTCATCCACTGTAATCCCCAGGTCCTTTTCTGCAGAACTGCTGCCTAGCCACTCGGTCCCCAGCCTGTAACAGTGCATGAGATTCTTCCTTCCTAAGTGCAGGACTCTGCACTTGTCCTTGTTGAACCTCATCAGATTTCTTTTGGCCCAATCCTCCAATTTGTCTAGGTCACTCTGGACCCTATCCCTGCCCTCCAGCATATCTACCTCAACCCCCATCTTAGTGTCATCTGTGAACTTGCTGAGGGTGCAATTAATCCCATCATCCAGATCATTAATATTATTGTCAGGATTATTGTCCTGGCTATTGCCCAAGCCTTTAATAACTAAGTAAAGTGGAACAAGTACCACCAGGATATCCATAGATCTTCAAGCTGGAAAGAGGCTTTGTGGTCCAGAGCATGCAGGAGCCAATATCAGGACCACATACCATACCAGTACTTACATTTGGACAAGACTACTTTAAAACAAGATGTAAGGGCCTGATCCAAAGCCTACTGCAAACAATGGGAAAAAATTCCTATTGACTCCAATAAGCTTTGCATCAGGCCCTAATTTAGAAGACGCTAATACTTAAAAGGCCAAGTAAATGAGCAACAAAGCAGCAAGACTGTCACAGGGTGGGGTTCCCTCAGCATGGATTCTTCATTGCAAACAGACCTCACACACTCCTGCATAGGTTCAACACCACGTGCATTATTTACAATGTGCTATACAAGTGCTTGTGCCCCACAACATAAGGCTTTTACTTTCTCCTCAGACACAGGGTGAGAAACAGGGAGAGCTCTCATCTCTCTGAGATCATGGGCTAGCCCTTCTTTCCAACCTTCCTCTCCTCCCCTGTCTCTTTTAACTATCCCCAGCTGATGAGCTGAATCACCTTGTTAGTTGTTTAATCATCCAGTCCTTAACCAATTATCTCCTTAGTTTGGCCCACCTGGGGACACTTGCAAAGCACACAGAGTGATGAATAAGCCTTAGGCTATCTACACCCTGTCACAAAGACTCCAAAACTTTTGGCTCCTAGTTGATTGGAACAGATCACCTGTGGTGCTCAAAATAGTGAAAATGGTTTGCGAGAAAGGGATTAATCTAGCGATATGTATTAAACCATGTTGCGTTGGATGTTATTAAATGAACAAAAATCACTGAAGTCAAGAGGGTCTGGGTGTTATAATAAAATAATAAGAATAATATAATAAGACATCACTGAAGCCATCAGCTTATCAACAGCAAGAGTGAAAACAGCAAATAAGAATTTAGATTGTACTAGCAGATTGAGTCCAGTCTGTGAATACTGGTCACTACCACAGGAAGGATATTACTTTCCAGAGTACAGTATATAATAAAGGTGTCAGCCTAAGCCTGAGTGTCTATCTTCAGAAAAGCTATAAAATGCTGTCCTCTGAAATGTACTATGGAAGTGATGATCTTACTCAACAGATCTGCTCCCTCTGTGTATGCAGAGTTAACAGCTGATTGAAGAGTAGTAAAGATTTAAAGATACTGGCAGAAAGTTTCTCCACATTTTGACATTATAACTTGGAAAGAAAAATGTTTATCTGATTATTTAAGGTACATAAATAACTTAGGCGATGGCTACACTACCGAGCTTACAGCCACGCAGCTGCATCGGTGGAAAACTCTCCCGTTGACTTAATTATTCCAGCCCCCATGAGCAGTAGTAGCTATGTTGGCAGGAGAAGCTCTCCCATGGACATAGCGCTGTCCACACTCAGAGGGGTGGCTTATTCGCACCCCTGAGTGACATAACTTATACCAACCTAAGCTGTAGTGTGAACATAGCCTTTCTACTTCTGTAATACATCCAAGTTATCCTCAGACACAATATATATGAAACTCCACAATACTATTTATAGTCCCCATCAGACTAGAACCACATTAAGTATGCTGGATTGAAGATGTACGTGAGCAATTAAAGCAATGTTTTCAAAATTCTGAAAGGGATTCTTAAGTTTATATTAGCACTTTACACAGATAAAGAGATTAAAACTGAAAACTAGGAGCAGAGAGGCAATTCCCCATAACAATTCACATCACAGGCGCCAGCATCTAATGCTCAGCCCCAGGCCCCGCCCCCACGCCACCTCTTCCCCTCCCACTCCACCCCGGGCCCCGCCCCCATTTCATCCCTTCCCCCAGCTGGAGCATCCATGGAGACAGCACCTATGATTCACGTAGAGTCCGATGAATCAGTGACCAAAGGTAAGTATTAGGGTCAGACTGCACCCCGGCTCTGTGCAAGCAGGCAAGTGCTGGTCAGGGAGCACTACCCCCTTCCTGTTCTGATCCCCTCCAGAGGTGAGGGGCCAAGCACAAGCGCAGTCTTTATGCTTCCCTGAGTGCAAGGACTGCATTGGGCTAGTGTCACCGGCCACGCCATGGTGGAAGCAGAGTAAAAAATGAAATAGAACAGCTTCGATGGCTGCACAGGGTTTTTCCCCCCACTACTGCTGTTGATTAGGTGACACTTTCAATGGTTTTTACAGTTTCAGCCACAACTGGATTTAAGCCAAGTCCCTAATACTTTTACACAATGTTGTGGTTGTTTCCCTGTGTTTATTATGAGAGCATCTAACAAACATGGGTAGGGGTCTACCAAATTTGCAGCCGTGAAAATCACATCGCAGACCATGAAATCTGGTTTCCTCTGTGAAATTTGGTTTCTGGCCACCCAGATCTGAAGGCAGAGCAGAGAGCAGCAGCTGCTGGTGGGGTGCCTAGCTCTGAAGGCAGCACCACCAAGAGCAGCAGGAGCAGCACAGAAGTAAGGGTGGCGATAGCGTACCATGCCATCCTTACTTCTGTGTTGCTGCTGGCGGCGACACTGCCTTCAGAGCTGGGATCCCGGCCAGCAGCTGCCACCCAGGTCTGAAGGCAGCACTGCTGAGAGCAGCAGCGCAGATGTAAGAGTGGCAATATTACAACCCCCCTACAATAGGCTTGCGACTCCCTTTTGGGTCGGGGCCCCCACTTTGAGAAACACTGCAGAGAAAGCACTCATTTTTTGTGGGTTGGTCACGGCATAAATAGCCATGTCATTCATGAAATTTGCTATTTATGTTGTGACCAACCCACAAAAAATGTGTTTTCTCTGCAATTTAAGTAGACTCCCAAAACATGGGACTAGCTGGCTGCCTTTTAAACCAAGTTTAGTCAACTTCAAACAGGCTTTATAAGATTGCAGCACTATTATTAAGGTTGGCTCTTTGTTCCAGATCACTAGTTGGGTTTTCACCTCATTATCAAACCAAACACTTTCCTGAAATGGAGAAAATATTTGCAGTAGCTGGCCCCAAAATCAACCTCTCCAGAAGTGGATGTTGACATGCTTGCTACAGCTCCTGATGGCTAGCCACAGCAAGTACTGGACTGCCACTTTCTGAAAAGGGCCAGATTCAGATGTATTCAACTTGAGTGAGGGTTATTTATTCCACAGACAATCTCACTGATTCAGTGGGATTATTTGTGAAGTAAGTATATCAGAAGCTGGACCATAGGTAGCAACACCCTGTGGGACAGCTGCCACAAAGGGAGAGAGTGCAGGGAGGCCTCATTACAGAACAGTCCTCTCTAGAAGTGGGAGTCTTCAGATGAACTAGGGAGGTAGGAACACTAGGTAACCCAGTGGCAGATGCTGTTAGGCAGTCCTGTCTATGACACAGAGGAACTGTACTGAAGTTTAATTACACTTTGACATGCATACTACATTACCCTGGTCATGAGACACAGTGAAATGCAGTGCACTGCCATGGTTATAATTATAGAATCATAGACTTTAAGGTCAGAAGGGACCATTATGATCATCTAGTCCGACCTCCTGCACAATGCAGGCCACAGAATCTCACCCACCCACTCCTGTATCAAACCTGTGTCTGAGCCACTGAAGTCCTCAAATCATGGTTTAAAGACTTCAAGGTGCAGAGAATCTTCCAGCAAGTGACCCGTGCCCCACGCTGCAGAGGAAGGCGAAAAACACCCAGGGCTTCTGCCAATCTGCCCTGGAGGAAAATTCCTTCCCGACCCCAAATATGGCGATCAGCTAAACCCTGAGCATGTGGGCAAGACTCACCAGCCAGACACCCAGGAAAGAATTCTCTGTAGTAACTCAGATCCCACCCCATCTAACATCCCATCACAAGCCATTGGGCATATTTACCGCTAGTAGTCAAAGACAAATTAATTGCCAAAATTAGGCTATCCCATTATACTATCCCCTCCATAAACTTATCAAGCTTAGTCTTGAAGCCAGATATGTCTTTTGCCTCCACTACTCCCCTTGGAAGGCTGTTCCAGAACTTCACTCCTCTGATGGTTAGAAACCTTCATCTAATTTCAAGTCGAAACTTCCTGATAGCCAGTTTATATCCATTTGTTCTTGTGTCCACTTTTAGGGCCCTACCAAATTTGCAGCTGTGAAAAACGTGTCAAGGACCATGAAATCTGGTCTCCCCTGTGAAAGCTGTAGGGGATGGTGGTATTGCCACCCTTACTTCTACGCTGCCTTCAGAACTGAGCGGCCATAGAGCGGCGGCTGCTGGCCAGGCACCCAGCTCTGAAGGCAGCACTGCCGCCAGCAACAGCACAGAAGTAAGGGCGGCAGCATAGTATGAACACATCTGCAAAATCTGCTAGTTATGATGTGACCAACCCATGAAAAATGTTTCATTTCCCCGCGATTTAAGTAGACCCCTAGTTATAATCATGTGTAAGCTAAGATGTGTGGCCACAAATTGTACCAGAACTAAACAGCATTATCACCTTCTTACGAGCTTGGTAAAAATATGTAGTATAGACAAGTTTTATGGGCAGGATGTTTTAAACCGTTCTACAGGGAGGACCCCACTTGAGGACTGGTTTTAGGCCTCCGAGTGGAGCAGTTTGTGTAGAGGGGAGGACACAAAGATGGCGCTAATGGGTATTTTAATGATTATAAATTGTTTCAGAGTCAGGAGCACAGGAGCCAAACACTTGAATTTAAATTGTTCAACTGTCTATTATACTAGAGTGAACCGTCAAGGTGTGTAAGTTCTCCAATGGGAGACAAACCTTATAATGACTCCAAGGCGTAGATCAAAGTTTTTCTGTACAATTTCAAGCAGCTCTTCTTCTGATCTATCTGAAGTGCCGTAGTGGAATACGGAAATGGCTAGAGGGTGGCTCAGACCAATAGCATAAGACAGCTGTAGGATACATACATCAAACCAAGTTAGAAATTGCAGTTCAATTCAGCACCCTTCTGCTTTACAAAAATAGACACCTACCTAGTTTTAAGATTCCCTGCAGTACAGATAAGGTATTTCCTTTAGGACCTGTTTTTAGTATTCCATTACGGCATGCTCCTGCTGTATTGTGGTCTGGAACCTTCCCCCAGTCAAAACAGCGAGTATTGGGCCAGTGTTGTTGGGGTCCGTAGGAACCAATATCTTACACTGAAAATATGCCATACTCAGGAACTAGGACTTGGAAGGGGCTCTACCATGGGGGAAATGGGTGCGCCTTTCTGCTTCCTTATGATGTATAAGTGAAGCTGGGAAGATTTGTTGTTTCTGTTTGTTTACATTAGAAATTTAACTCAACTATCCTGTTTGATTGGAAGACTATACTGGGCAAATATTTGACAGAAATGCTATGCAGGTGAAACCAGAACAATTAAGAGGGGAAGTGTTTTATACTCAGCCTATCAGAATCCTTCTGACTGGCTAACTGAACTCAAACACTTCCAAGGACAGCCCTTCTGCTGAAGAGTCAACACCTCCTTCCCCTGTTCAATCAAGGGCCAAGAGAGCTCAAAACTCAACTCTCTGGGTCCCAAGAGGAAAACCACCAATAAAGCAGGAAAATGATCTGGAGAAAGGGGTAAAAAGTGAGGTGGCAAAGTTTGCAGATGATACTAAACTGCTCAAGATAGTTAGGACCAAAGCAGACTGCGAAGAACTTCAAAAAGATCTCACAAAACTAAGTGATTGGGCAACAAAATGGCAAATGAAATATAATGTGGATAAATGTAAAGTAATGCACATTGGAAAAAATAGCCCCAACTATACATACAATATGATGGGGGCTAATTTAGCTACAACGAATCAGGAAAAAGATCTTGGAGTCATCGTGGATAGTTCTCTGAAGATGTCCACGCAGTGTGCAGAGGCGGTCAAAAAAGCAAACAGGATGTTAGGAATCATTAAAAAGGGGATAGAGAATAAGATGGAGAATATCTTATTGCCCTTATATAAATCGATGGTACGCCCACATCTTGAATACTGCATACAGATGTGGTCTCCTTATCTCAAAAAAGATATACTGGCACTAGAAAAGGTTCAGAGAAGGGCAACTAAAATGATTAGGGGTTTGGAACGGGTCCCATATAAGGAGAGATTAAAGAGGCTAGGACTTTTCAGCTTGGAAAAGAGGAGACTAAGGGGGGATATGATAGAGGTATATAAAATCATGAGTGATGTGGAGAAAGTAGATAAGGAAAAGTTATTTACTTATTCCCATAATACAAGAACTAGGGGTCACCAAATAAAATTAATAGGCAGCAGGTTTAAAACAAATAAAAGGAAGTTCTTCTTCACACAACACACAGTCAACTTGTGGAACTCCTTGCCTGAGGAGGTTGTGAAGGCTAGGACTATAACAGCGTTTAAAAGAGAACTGGATAAATTCATGGAGGTTAAGTCCATTAATGGCTATTACCCAGGATGGGCAAGGATGGTGTCCCTAGCCTCTGTTTGTCAGAAGCTGGGAAATGGGCAACTGGGGATGGATCCGTTGATGATTACCTGTTCGGTTCATTCCCTCAGAAGCACCTGGCATTGGCCACTGTCGGAAGACAGATACTGGGCTAGATGGACCTTTGGTCTGATCCAGTATGGCCGTTCTTATGTAAAAACTGATTTGACAATCCTGATATTTCATAAGTAAAAAAGCAAGGCAAAAGGGCAACTTTGAGTTTGGCAATTTCTCACTTTTGGTGCTTTACTTTCCCATGATAACATTGTTTGATTGCAACCTACAAAACTATTAGATCTTTGTACACCTATATAATTGCACCTTTATGTATTCCTGTACATGGAATTTCTGTCTAGCATGAGCCTTCTGTCATGCTATGTGTCTGCGATGCACCTGTTGCAGCTATTGTGTCTGGAATGATGGGATAGTGGTCACAGACAGAACAATGGTTAAGTGTACGTTGTCTCTATACATTGCACTGATTTTCCAGAAAAGTTGGTTAGCGTGGAAATAATTTCCAGACCAGAGTCAGTTCAGCAGGCAGAGACTCTTGCTACAACACTCAACAGCCCCAGGACAGTGATAACACCCATTTCAGTGTCTATTGATAATTTCCTTCCTCTGATTGACTGTTTGGACCAACAACCTACTACTTCACAAGACCTTAGCTTCCAGTTGTACTTCTGTGCTCTTCTCCATCCTTTCTCCCCATCACCATCCCTTGCCTCTACTGTTAATATCTGATGTCGCCCTAGTTTCCAATGTACTAATCCCCTCTTGCCTCGCCTCCTTCCCTGACGTCTGCCTCATTGAGGGTGGCCTTTTCAAATGCACGTAGCATTGGCCTTCTGCACTCCCACTAAAGTCAAGAATGTTAGGCCAATGCTGCATTCTTTCCCCTCTCTTCACCCTTTACCTATCATGTGTGTAACAATGCCTAGCACAACAGGGCCCTGTTCCTAATTGGGACCTCTAGGTGCTGTGTCATTATTAGTCATTATCAGGTCATTGCAGGAACCAAGGGTGCTATGAAACCTCAGCTCAAGTGTTTAACTGTGGAACAGCTCTGCCCTCTAATGTATATGAGGATGTAGTGTGCTGAATGAAAGCTGATACACAGCAGTCACCCAGTACAATTATGCATACTTGCTGGTATTGCATGCTGCCTAGACAATCATCATGTTTTATTTGTTTTGTATTTGTTTGGGGCCCAGTCATGGCCTTATAGGGGTTTGAGCATTGGCCTGCTAAACCCAGAGTTGTGAGTTCAATCCTTGAGGGGGCCACTTAGGGATCTGGGGCAAAATCAGTACTCGGTCCTGCTAGTGAAGGCAGGGGGCTGGACTCGATGACCTTTTAAGGTCCCTTCCAGTTCTAGGAGATAGATAAATAAATTAATTAATGGAGATATCCTATCTGTATGAGGGTCAGGCAACTCAACAGAGCACCACCCAAAAGCTACAGGCCCCAAGGATTCATGCATAAGGAAGGAAAACAGAATTTAATGTAACTGTACAGAAACGAGGCAAGGCATGCAAGGTGTAGGGAATGAGACCAAGCTCTTGCCTCTGAGTGCATATATTTTTCTCTGCACTCATTCAACTCATGGCTTTGTCTCCTCCGTATAACAATGCAGTGTTACTACTGCAATAGAGTTCTATTGTATAAAAAACACGTTTAAAGTGATGATTGCGAAGTCAAGCATGTACAAGTTAGGAAATGCCCAAGCAACCTTAATTCGGCCCCCCTGGGCACATGCATTATGATACTCTTTAATTCCATGATCACTTACGATTTTTCCCCCAGGACCCCTGCCCAATAAAGTGCACAGGATGGATGGCGCTCACTTAGTGAATAATCTTTTGTCCTCATCTTTCTATGTACGCCCGCCTCCCCATCCCGCCCCCCCCCCAGCATTATTTATTGCTAAGGTTAAGATTTTGTCATGGTTATTTTTAGTAAAAGTCAGGGACAGGTCACGGGCAATAAACAAAAAATCATAGAAGCCCATGACCTGTCTCTGACTTTTGCTAAAAATAACCAAGACAAAATTTGGGCGAGGGGGAGGGGGAAGGAGAACCGAAGCCCAAGCAGGGAGGGATGAGAGCCTAGACCCACTGCAGAAGGTGGGGTCCAACACCCACTGTCGGGGGTGACTGGGAGCTGGAGGGGGCCTCCTGCACCACCTGTAGCAGCAGAGAGCTCCAGGGTCCCCCCGCCACCCTCGGTAGCTCAGAGCTCCAGGGCCCCCATCGGCTGACCACGCCGAGGCTGGAAAATGTTACAAAGGTCTCCGAAAGTCACGTAATCCATGACTTCCGTGACATAATCTTACCCTTATTTATTGCCCGCCCTCCAAAGCCTGCACTAGTTACACAATCATAAGTTTACTCGCTGAAGTATCTGAGTGCTTCACCAATATAAATACATTTATCTTCACAGAGGAGAAACTGGGATGGATTAAGGCCAACATTTTCAATGTTTACTAATGTTGGGAACCCAGCTACAGATGCTTAAGGGCTAATTTTTCAGAGCAGAGCTCCCATTGACTTCCATTGCAGTAGTAGATTCTTAAGTGGGGCAATCAAGAAATGCGGAAGATAATTAGTGGCCACCTGTGAATGGTTTGATTGAAGTGAGTTGCCCAGCACCACAGGAATTCTTTAGAGGGGCAGGGACAGAATCCAGTTCTTCAGGACAGCATTTGATTGTCTTTGCCATAAGACCATCTTTCCTCTGCTGGTAATACTTTACCTCATTCACTACATATCTTCCAACTTCTGAAGCAAATGCGCCCACAATCCTAAGGACAAAAGCCTTATTCATTACGCAGCCTGATTAATTTCCTAAACACCATCTATCCTTTGTACTGATGGAGCTAGGGGGTCCAGTGGAAAATATTTAAATTACATGATTACATACTAGAGGAACAAGGTGGATGAAGTAATATCTTTTATTGCACCAACTTCTCTCACCACAGAAGTTGGTCCAATAAAAGATATTACTTCACCCATCTTGTCTCCCCAATATCCTGGGGCTAACACAGCTACACCAACACTGCAAACACGATCACACAATATCATAATCAAGCATATGACCAAGGAAACCAAATAAGGTTGCACAGGCAGCCTTCATTCTGGCATTTCCTAATTTTGGAATGCTTGACTTTGCAACCTTAACATTCTTTTCATGTCATTTTGGGGATGTAATTTTGTATTTTCATAAAAAGCAATCTGAAAAAAACAAATTTTTATCATGTGGAGCCATATTGACTCTCACATGGGTTATGGGCAGGGCTGAGACATTTAGACTTTTGAGGTAATGAGTAGAGAAGCACAGCCTAGTAGTCCTGTGTGGATCAGCCACTGGAAGGTGGGGGGCAAGGAAGAGACATTGTACCAGTGGGGTTCACAGTTATTTGCTAGAGAATCAGCAACCCTGGGTTCAGTTACAGGTTCTGGGGGTAGGATGTTCTCTCTAGTGGTCAGACTCTGTCGCTGTGCCCCCAACATGTTGACTGTCCCCCTTTTCTTCAGCTCCTGTTCCAGACCTGGTTTTCTACTATTTCAACCCCCATCCCACAGCTTTTGTTGCTTTCAGCCTTCCTCTCCTCCCTCTGCTTCTCATCCTTTTGCACTGGAATCAGGCTGCCTCCCCCAAGCTTTCTGGGTGGCAGTAGGGGGCATTACGAACATAGAAAGAGGGTCTCCTTGCTCAGTTCCAATACCTGCCACCACAGTGGTCTCCAGCAGCCAAGAAAAGCCATTGCAAGCTAAATCCTGCTCAGCCACCATGGCCCTGGAATGGAGCAAGCTCGGGCACGGGGGATGGCACATATACAGTCCAGTCAGCATGCAGGAGCTATGTGGGGATAGAGCATGCTCAGTGCAGATGGACTCCTCATAAAATGTAGCTGCCAGCCTCCAACATCTCTACTGAGGATGTGCAAACTGTGATTTTTCACAGGCTTGTAACTTGTCCAAATTTGGGTTTTCATGGGAACCACAGGAGGCACACTGACACGAGGGTGACCCCCCCCAAATTTCAAGCCCTTTCTCCAAATCACTGAGGTGCCAGAGCTTCTTGTTAAAGCTAAGCATTTAAAATGGGCCAAACAGCATTCTTCTTCACCCTCATTCTTGGCAATAACTGAACATTTTTTGCTGAAACTTGCCCAAAAAATTCAGTCTGAAACCTATCCCCAGAATGAAAAACTTCAACCCAAATGGTTTAACTCTGGCAAACGTATAAGCAACTGAAAACATGGTCTCATCATTCAAAGTGTTAGGCAGCCTGAAGTATAGAGATTGCTAAGAGAACTACCGATAATGTGTTTAGTAGGGTGTGCTTGCTCTTGATTTTGCCCTTCTTACCTGGATCAATACTCTTCTACAGAGACCAGCTTTCACTAGGGATTTTGCAACCCAGCGAGCTGCATATGCTGCTGAGCGATCAGCTTTGGAAGGATCTTTCCCAGAGAACGCACCTCCACCATGGGCTCCCCAGCCTCCATAAGTATCAACAATGATCTTTCGGCCAGTCAGTCCAGCATCACCCTGTAGGGCAAACAATTACACGTTGACTGGGCAAACCCAGGCTCTGTGTATAAATTAATTCCAACACCACTATGGATTAATTGCTTGTAATTATGTCAGAAACAAAATAAGCCCAATCAATGGGTTGCTATGCGTCTCTTTCTAGGCCGTTATTTGATATAGCCTACGTGGGTAAGGTGGAATTTTACGTAGGATGTGCCACAGTTTGTACTGTAGTAACTCTCAAAGATTGATATGAACACAGCCCGTTTTTGAAAGACACAGTAAAACCTATTCCCTTTGTCATTTCCCGTATCCAGCACGGATCATAATGTTGGAACTGCTGCCCACTGAACATGTTTAGTGACACTTGGTGGGATTATTCACCCTTTCAAGGGAAAAGAGGAGTGGTTTACAGTAAAACTCAACTTCACTAAATAAGGCAAAAGGCTAGTCAGGATTTGCCTTTAGTTATCTAGTGAAATCTGTACACAATTGACTAGATTGTACCTTGTAGGCACTGCCCCAGTGGGGAGCTGCACCACTCCAGCACAGGTCATGTGCCATCCAGTGCACAGGGGGGTGCATGAACTTCAACCCCCTGTTTAAGAGGTGCACATAGTTCCCACCTATGTAGCAAGATGCCTGGAGAAAAGGGGAATTGTTATCACTGTGGTGAGTATCTCTATGGCAGTCCGGTACTCACTTGAATTTGGCCATTTGTTACACCACTTGTATAAGGTAGGGAAGAGGTTTTTTTATTTTCTTCTCCCTAGTGCACGCCCATGTAAGGGCCAACCAAAATCTTGCTCAGTGTGGGTAACTGAAACACTGAACTAATTCCAGGTTCTCATGTACGGTGAGGATTAATACATTGTGTCTCAATCTTAAATTGCATAGCCATCCGGATAGCATTAACCATACAAATTACTCTAAGTGCTAAGCATCATAGGTATTGTGAAATCAACTCAAGTGCTTCGAGTCAAGAATTTTAGCAATTAATTTAAGAGCCTGTTTAACATAATGTTCAACTTTCTGTAATGATTGAAGTATATTTTGTCATTGATAAAGATTCAAGAATCTCTACATATCCACTCTTGATTGGCCAAACAATTATAGGATCAGTTTGGATGCTAGCTTCCTCACATCCTCCTGATGACTGAGTATAAGCAGAAGTGACCACATTTCCTTAAAAATGTAGTTGAGACTTGTATTGTTTCACTAAAGCAGTACATTTAATTGTTTTGAGAGAGAACATTTAGAAAGGACATTGCAGAATGTAATATCAGTCTATTTATATTAAAAATCTTTCAAAGTACCATACCTTAGGACCACCTTCTATAAACACTTCACTCGGAAGGAGATGATAGATTGTGTTCTCATCTAGATATTTTGCTGGAATAACTTCTTTGACAACTTTTTCCATTAGTTCTTTCCGCATTTGTTGTACAGACATATCGGGTGCATGATGTACAGAGATCACCAATGTGTGTACACGGATGGGCTCCACTGCTCCATCCTTTTCCTTGTATTCCATTGTGACCTGAAAATCAGCCATGGAAATTCAAATCCAATATTCCCTGACCAGGAGGGGCATCAAACCCAAATGGACAATTAAAACAACTTCATATTTCCCTCTAATAGCAGAAGGAATAGAATTTGGTGAAATCTGATTAGAGAAAGGACTGGATGCTAGATTATTACTGGTGACGCTGAAAAACGATTGATGGAAATACAGACCTCAAAGAGGCCAAAAATAACCACGATCTAATTAAAATAAAGAAGGACCACTACAGAAGCATATGCTCATCTCTAGTTGGCTACAGAGAAACAAAGTAATTATAATGAAAAACGAGAGCTTGAGATCCCAGCCAACAAGCATTAAGGTCATTCATAGATGGGGCAGGCTAAAGTGCGAAGGGAAAGGAGCTTAAAATACTGAAGCTCCAGCTATGGTTAAATTACCCTTTTTGGAAGAAGTTAATTCTAAACATCAAACTGCAGGAGGTGCTCTACACCAGCATTTCACACTGAAGTCAAACCAAGTTGCAAATGCTTAGCGACCTCTTGGAATTTTGCCTACATGTCTGCTTTGCCTTACTTCCACTGCTTCTTCCTAGTTACAGTTTGTAGACTCTAATCATTGGTGATATATGGCAGTGATCAGTGTGACCCAATTCAAATTTAGGGGTAGGTGCTGGAGTTCGTGGCTACTGACTCCTGCCTTATGACAGTGGAATAAGACTTGGGCTGTCGATTAATCGCAGTTAACTCATGCGATTAACTCAAAAAAATTTATTGCAATTAAAAAAATTAATCGTGTTTAATCGCAGTTTTAACCCCACTGTTAAACAACAGAATACCAACTGAAATTTATTAACTATTTTTGGATGTTTTTCTACATTTTCAAATATGTTGATTTAAATTACAACACAGAATACAAAGTGTGCGGTGCTCACTTTATATTATTATTTTTATTACAAATATTTTCACTGGAAAAATGATAACCAAAGAAATAATATTTTTCAATTAACCTCATACAAGTACTGTAGTGCAATCTCTTTATCATGAAAGTGCAACTTACAAATGTAGATTTTTTTGTTACATAACTGCACTCAAAAACAAAACAATGAGAAACTTTAGCGCCTACAAGTCCACTCAGTCCTACTTCTTATTCAGTCAATAGCTAAGACAAACAAGTTTGTTTACATTTACGAGAGATAATGCTGCCGGGCTTCTTATTTACAACGTCACCTGAAAGTGAGAACAGGTGTTTGCATGGCACTTTTGTAGCGGGCGGTGTAAGGTATTTACGTGCCAGATATGCTAAACATTTGTATGCTCCTTCATGCTTCAGCTATCATTCCAGAGGACATGCTTCCATGCTGATGATGCTCGTTAAAAAAAATAACAGGTTAATAAAATTTTGACTGAACTCCTTGGGAGAGAATAGTATGTCTCTGGCTCCGTTTTACCTGCATTCTGCCATATATTTCATATTATAGCAGGCTTGGATGACCCAGCACATGTTGTTCGTTTTAAGAACACTTTCACTGCAGATTCGACAAAACAAAAAGAAGGTACCAATAGGAGATTTCTAAATATAGCTACAGCACTCAACCCAAGGTTTAAGAATCTGAAGTGCCATCCAAAATCTGAGAGGGGCAAGGTGTGGAGCAGGCTTTCAGAAGTCTTAAAAGAGCAACACTCCGATGCAGAAACTACACAACCCAAACCACCAAAAAAAAAAAAAAATCAATCTTCTGCTGGTGGCATCTGACTCAGATGATGAAAGTGAATTTGCATTGGTCTGCACTGCTTTGGATCATTATCGAGCAGAACCCATCATCAGCACAGACGCACGTCCTCTGGAATGGTGGTTGAAGCATGAAGGGACATATGAATCTTTAGCATATCTGGCACGTAAATACCTTGCGACGCTGGCTACAACAGTGCCATGAGAATGCCTGTTCTCACTTTCAGGTGACATTGTAAACAAGAAGTGGGAAGCATTATCTCCTGCAAATGTAGGCAAACTTGTTTGTCATAGCGATTGGCTGAACAAGAAGTAGGACTGAGTGGACTTGTAGGCGTTAAAGTTTTACATTGTTTTGTTTTTGAATGCAGGGTTTTTTGTACATAATTCTACGTTTGTAAGTCCAACTTTCATGATAAAGAGCTTGCATTACAGTACTTGTATAAGGTGAATTGAAAAAATACTATTACTTTTGTTTTTACGGCACAAATATTTGTAATAAAAAAGAAATATAAAGTGAGCGCTGTACACTTTGTATTCTGTGTTGTAACTGAACTCAATATATTTGAAAATGTAGAAAAGATCCAAAATATTTAAATAAATAGTATCCTATTATTGTTTAACAGTACGATTATTTGCGCAATTAATTGCAATTAATGTTTTTAATCGCTTGACAGCCCTAAATAAGACATTAGTGAAACCCTGACCTAAGTCAGGTGATTGCTCAGGAAATAAAGACCAGTCTCTTACCAAAATTCCTTTGTCATCTATTACCTGCATCCTTCCCTTACCTGCGGTTTGCATGTATATGAGTGCCTACATGCCAACACTTTCTCATAACAAGAAAGAAACCTGCCAAACCAATTTTTGGATTGATTCAAGTGCTAAAAAGGTCATGTATCCATATGATTTTCTTAACCTTTGACAACAATACATCCCCAGTAATATCCCAAAGTGCAATAGTACAATGCAACTTAACTCACCACCACTGAGCCAGTGAAGTTAAACATAATCCGCCCTCTCCGCCAACAATTCCCCATACTTCCGATTCCCACCCCCCATTCAGTTCTCCTCTGCCTTGTGAGAACATATGTACGTTAACTGTCTGACTAGGGAGAAAATGTAACTCTAACCACTCAGTTAGCAAACCCACTCATGGCAGTACTGGAAGGCTAAGGGGATGACTAACCAGATATGCAGCCTCTTACTTTGAGGTCATTGCTTCAAATGTAGCCTGTGGCAGCACTGACTAAAAGATCTGGGGGCCTGAGAGAAGTCAGTGGGTTGTCCCAGTCCAGTTGCCTCCCAAAACGTGTCCATACCACAAAAAGCACCATCCTAGCTGGTACTAACTGATCATGTTAGTGTCCAAGGAGACAGATATGTTCCTCTCACTCCTTAGGTGGGTCCCAAGAGTCATGACTGAGGCACTGGCAGGACAGTGTGGACCAGGCCATCTGTGCAGTGGATATGAAAATGCCATCTCCTGGCCTGTCTAATCTAATCCATTCAAGCACACAGAATTCATGCCTCTGCCACACCAGCTGTTCCTTCATTTCTTGAAGAACGTGAATCGGGTCTAAAATCAATTGTGCAAGTTAAGGGGCACAGCCCTTTTAAAATCTGATTTATAATCGCTATTATTTACTAACCTGCGTTTTCCCATCTGGTCTAATCCAGGGCCATGTTCCATTCCTCTCCAGGGCTTTAATCTTTGCATTAAGTTTGTGTGCAAGTAGGATTGTTAGAGGCATGCATTCTTCAGTTTCATCAGTGGCATAACCAAACATCAAACCCTGCATTGAGGCAATAGAAAAGAAAACATAATTCCAAGGCACTTATTTCCATTTTCTGTTCATGGGAAGAGGCATCTGTGACATGGAGTCTGGGTGTAGTGTCACTTGCTTCTTTACATATACACCACTCTTGAAATCAAACAGCCGACCAGTGTAATCCCTTCTTCCAGGAATCTCAGACCAACAGCATTGCCTGGTTCCCAAGAAATAACTCCTTCTCATCAAGAACCCACTCTAATCAGAGACCACGAAAGCTTATGCTCAAATAAATTTGTTAGTCTCTAAGGTGCCACAAGTACTCCTGTTCTTTTTGCGGATACAGACTAACACGGCTGCTACTCTGAAACCAAGAAAAAGAGCTAACTCCTGTTGTTTGCACAGCTCCACCTCCCTCCCCCAAAGCTACCTGTACACACAACCATCCATAACCCAAAATACCATAGCATGTCCTTTTAAGAATCAAAATTTGCTCACACTAAGACCTTGAAAGACTAACAGCGCCACCTGGTGACACCTGCCATAACAAAAAGTTTAATTGTAGCTTTAGCCTTTAGAGTCGTTGGATATGTGCAGGCAGCACTTGTTGAAACCAATACGTGCCAGGTTTTCTTGGCCTTGTTATTAATCATGTACACAATATTTAGTTCAAACCCACATGCTTTAATTATCTACCGTGTATACTGTATAGTCTTTTTTTTTAATGTTTATTGGACTGGGCTCTAAATGTTTAAAATAAAGACACTTTACCTGGTCCCCAGCTCCAATGTCATCTTCACTCTTGCCATGGGAGACAGCATGTTTGATTTCTTCACACTGTTGTTCTAGAGCTACCAGCACTGTACAAGTCTTATAGTCTAATCCTGGTGAAGAGAAGTGGAAGCGAATGATACCACAATATTCTTCTTTTGTTTGTTTTCAGAAATAAGTCAGCTAAAAAAGCGTTACTTCACGGATAGGTCAAAAAAGGTTGGCTGAAGATTTGAGGTATTTGGGTTACAAACACAAAGTGTAGGAATTAACCTTATGCCAGCAGCTTGGCTTTGTCTCCCTCCAGTGGGTAGGCCATGTATAAATATTTGCACATTACAGTCCCCAAGCTATTCTGGTCGTTCAGGCTAATCAGTAGAAGCTCATGCTTTTCATGAGGTGTCAGATTCTATCCCATAGGTCACGCAACCAGAGACATTGTCCATGTTCTGTTATTGGTGGACAAATGCCAATGCCTAAAGTCATTTAAGTAGGAAAGTTTGAAGACTGTTGTTAAAGGAAGCAGGCTTTCATTCATTGTCTCTTGTAAAGGGCACTTGATGAAACTAGACAAAAGTATATTTGAGACGAATTCAGGGAAATGCTGACGTAGAATAGTCACGTAGGGGATTCACTGCTGCAGGAACCCCTTGTAGCAATTACATTAGTAGGAATATTGAAGAATTCCCTTGTGCATGAACTTTAAGTCTCAAAGTTTACTGAAACCTAAATACAAGGAAGACCAGTTCTCCTGTTTTTATAATAAGCCATTTGCCTGCAGACAAGTCATATTCCATCCCTAACCATCCTGTCATTTGTGCAAGCTCCAACTCCACTACTTCATTGGGAATGGTGGGGGTTCAGCACTTCTAACAATCAATTTCTGAGTGACATGTTGACTCAAAGCCACATTCAATACACATCCATATTTATATTATCTTTTTTCCTCCTGCAGGATCAGAGTCATCCATGATGTTCTTTCACTGAGGACTGTTACGGAGGAATTTGACAGCACGTAATCAGAACTGACCATGAACCCGGAAGCAAGTACATAACTCACCTTTTGAAGAGTCATCATAGCCTATCCTCTTGAGGGTCTCTCGCACAATTTGCTGGTAATCCACTACAGCTTTGGAAGTGATCTCTCCACAGAGCAAGATCATCCCTGTTTTGGCCACACATTCTGTAGAGTTGAAATAACATTACAGTAGTATGAAAGTTCTCGCTATGTGTATAGGCTTTTGAAAGAGTATTTGGTCCTAGAAGCAACTGTGTAGTACAGTTTGAGGCTGATTGGACGGAACACGTTGTGGAATTGCTTCAGTAAATAAGTCTTAAGTTTGGCCTAATTTTTAAACCTGTCTTGATACCAATCACAGACTCTTGTCCTTTGCAACAGCGTGAGATGGATCCTCCTGTCTACTCCAGTTGCTTTATACTGTTCTAGCCACCTGAGATTCCCTTAGTGAATTTCCCTGGTGGTGCAAAGCCAGCAAGACAGCTCCTCCTGGCCCTGGACATGGGGAGAGTTCTCAGTAAAGAGCGAGCATCATCAGAATGGCTCTGTATTCCATCAAGTGCCAGTTGCCATGACGTCCGGCTGTCCAGCAGACCAAGGAGGCAATTTATAGCACTTTGAAGTGTGACCCTGTGACTGTTCCCTTCCAATTGCCTGTTGCACCCATTTGATGCCTCTTATCTTGGTTTAGACTATAAACTTTGGAGGCAGGAATAGTCTTAGGCCCAGATTTCTAATGGCATTTAGCCATTGCTGCGCAGAATGTTGCAACACCTAGACACTTAGGAGCCAAAATGCCATTGACAGTCTATGGGAATTAGGCTCCCAAGTGCTTAAATCCCTTTTGAAAAGAGGATTTAGGCTCCTAAATCAGTTAGACATTGTAGCGCTGATTGCAGCAACACCTAAATACCTTTAAAAATCTGGACCTTAGTGTCTACAGTGGCAAGCCCAGCAAGCTCGGATTTTAAGTGAGACCCCCCAGGTGCTACTACAATACAGTCTCTCAATTTACAGTACGCACAACAAAGTGGCTGTCCTCAGCTGCAGGCACCTTTGTCTAAAGTTAAAACACAATCAAATGAAAGCCAGCAGCTGCTCCTCGCCCTCAAAACAAAAAACCAACCAACCAAAATCATTGAGTTCAAACAATACCTCTGCCCACAGACCATTAATGCTTATTGGGTGTGGGGCTGGATACCAGCTATGCTAAATCCAAGGTGGGTCACAACCTGCTATCAGAAATGTCCTAGGCACCCCTGTACTCTCACCCTTTGCACTACTGCAATAATAGGTGTACAAAATAAGCCTTGTGAGGTATATGAAAGCTAGTAAGATACTGATTATTAATATCATTGCAAAATGCATGTGTTAACGTTATATGTGCAATTATGAATTCCCTCAGTATGATGTTACTAGAACATGTTTACAGCCAGACAGCCTAGCCCAGGTGATAAACAGGTCTGTCCTAGACAAAGAAATGTGGGTTTAGCTTAATTTCCATATTAGCAATACACAGAGCCATCAAGCTAAACCAGTGGAGTTTATTCTGATCCTGAACTGGAGAGACAGAGAATTAACATGGCTCCTGCACCTAGGGTGACCAAATAGCAAGTGTGAAAAATCGGGACGGGGGTGGGGCGTAATAGGAGTCTATATAAGAAAAAGCCCCAAATATCGGGACTGTCCCTATAAAATCAGGACATCTGGTCACCCTACCTGCACCCCAGAGAGACATAGGAGACTGAATTCCCAGGAGGCCTTTCTGACTTGTAAAACTTAGGGCTGGTCTACACTAGGGGAGGGGATTGATCCAAGATACGCAACTTCAGCTACGCAAATAGCGTAGCTGAAGTCGAAGTAACTTGGATCGAATTACCTGGGGTCCAGACGGCGCGGGATCGACGGCCGCGGCTCCCCCGTCGATTGCGCTACCGCCGCTCGCTCTGGTGGAGTTCCGGAGTTGACGGTGAGCGCGTTCGGGGATCGATATATCGCGTCTTAATGAGACATGATATATCGATCCCGGATAAATTGATTGCTACCCGCCGATACGGCGAGTAGTGAAGACGTACCCTAAGACATCCCTTCTGGGATATAAGGAACAGAGAGAGATTCCATCTTTATCCTTTACCTCAGGAGACAAAGAAACCACATGACTTGATCTCTCTGAGTCCTGGCCAGCAAAAGCTGGAAAGGCGACTGTGGATGAGAGAAACTGCCTTGAACAAAGACTGTGTATCTTGCTAGATTAAGTTTTAGACTTTTAGATTTGTATTTTCACTTTTATTTGCTTGTAACCAGCTCTACCTTTATCTTGTTTATTTGGTATCACTTAATCCATGTTCTTTGGTTAATAAACTTGCTTTGCTTTCATTATAAATCATCAGTGCTGTGTAAGTTCAGTAAAGTGTGTGCTTCTAGCAAGCTAGAGTGTTTTACTGTATCTGAAAAGGCAGCAAACACCACTTTCTCTATGAGGATCTCTGCAGTGGGACAATTTCAGGGTGAATTCAGGGCTGGAAAGATACTAAGGTCAGTCTGCAAGGAATAATCAGTTTGGGCAAAACCAGGGTGAAGCTGTGATGGGATACCTGGGGTACAACCTGGAACTGTGGGACTGTGCCCCCTTAACTCTCCAGCCTGGGCTGTCTCTTTCAATGCTTTGTTAGTGACTAGCAGCAAACCTCTTCAGGTGCTGTGGTCACTTAGTTAAAAACATGCAGGGAAATGCCCAGCTAAATTACATGAATGCTCTCTAAGCCACTCATGAACCATACACAGAGAAACACCAGCAAATTCCCCCAGCCTTGTACCCCAGAAATGTACTGTTTTACACCGCTCAAGACCTTCTCTTGAACAATGCAGGTTCATTAATTAGTTTGCCACTTCATCAAAGAATAGTGGATGTGCACCAGCCTATCTGAGCAAATTCCCCATGAATTTAGACAAACTCACTGGTAAAGATAAAACATTAAAATAAGTTTATTAACTACAGAAAGACAGATTTTAAGTGAGTATAAGTGGTAGGCATAAAGGTCAAAGACAGTTACCTAAGAAATAAAAAGTAAAATCACAGTCTAAATCCTAAACTCTATTAGACTAAGGAGGATTTGAATCAAACAGTTTTTCCCAGCCCACAGGATGTCGCAAGCAGGTTACATATCTTAATACACAAGCTGAATTTCCTTCTCAGTTTGAAGTCTTTGTCTTCCCATCATTATTGTTGCCTTCAGTGTAGGTGGGGGAGGAGAGAAGTAGTCTCATGATGCCACTGTCCCTTATTTTATACTCTTTATTCACGTCCCAGGAAAGATACTAGCCCAGACATGTCCTGATGGTCCTAGCTGAGTCGTAGAGTTGAGCAATCCCCATTGTGTGGTGCTTGTGCAACTGTCTCTTACAGAATTGTAAATCTCTTCTTTACAATTCCCCTGCTGGTCAATGGCTCGTGATGGTCGCATACTGCCCGTTTGGGTGTGGGTCACCTCCTTTGTTGCCACTGGAGAACTAGCAGTGGGCGACTCCCAGACTCAAGGTAGATGGTGACCAAATCCCTTAGTGGCCTGGGTGAATCCAAAAACGTCAGAGGTTTTGCACAATTGTATCAGAGGTGTTGTCTACACAGATGTTTCAGACTCCCAAGGAGAGTCTTGTGAACTTCAGTTTCAGACAGTATCTCTTGGATTCTCTGGGAAGCCTTAGCTGTCTAGAGGTTTATAGATTAGCAGCACACTCCAGTGATTCTCATCTCTGATTTCTGATTAAATGGATGCCCTAAAATGATTTTGATCCAAGTGAGATTTTGCTGCACTTGAACCTAGAAAAAAATAGTAGAATAGCTACTACATCTCCTGAGCTATCCTCCTTCAATCTGTGGCAGCATCTTCAGTCTGGATTTACTGCTACCACCGTGTCATCAGTACTTTGATGAAGCAGATGTCTGTCTCAGATTAAGGTGGTGCTGGAAGATAATTTCAGAGCCCATTTGCAAAAAGAACTGGTTCATGAAACTTCATGGAAAGTGAAATTGAGGCCTTCAAAACTACATTTTCACCCAGTAACTTTTCACCTGTATAGCTAGCTTTAACAGATTTGTAAAATGAAATTAATAGCTGTGTAACAGAGATGTTAAGATTAACTTGTGTACATATATTGCTTTGAGATCCTCCACAGATTCATAGAGTTTAAGGCAAGAAGAGACCATTAGATCATTTAGTCTGACCTCCTGTATATCACAGACCATTACATTTCACTCCATTATCCCTACACTGAGCCCAGTAACTTGTGTTTGGCTAAGGCATATCTTCCAGAAAGGCACCCAGTCTTGATTTGAAGACATCAAGAGATGGAGAATCCAACACTGCCCTTCGTAGTTTGTTCTCATGGTTAATTACCCTCTCTGTTAAAACACTGTGCCTTATTTCTAATTTGAATTTGTCTGGCTTCAGCTTTCAGCTACTAGTTCTTGTTATGCCTCTCTTTTCTAGATTAAAGAGCCCTGTAGTACCTGGTATTTTCTCCCTATGAAGGTACTTATATACTGTAATCAAGTCATATCTCAATCTTATTTCTGATGAGCAAAATAGATAGAGTTCCTTAAGTTTGTTCGGCATTTTCTCCAGTCCTCAGTTCACTTTGTGGCTTCTCTGCACCCTCTCCAATTTTGCAATATTCTTTTTAATTTGTTGACACCAGAACTGGATGCAGTATTCTCACATTGGTCTCACAAATGCTGTATACGGAGGTAAAATCAACTCCCAACCGAGTACTCTCCTGTTTATACTACTGCATTAGCCCCTTTTGCCACAGAATCACACTCGGAGCTCCTGTTGAGTTGCTTGTCGACTATGACCCCTGCGTTCTTTTCAAAGTCACTGATGTCCAAGATACAGTCCCTCTTCTATAGGTATGGCCTGCATTCCTTCGTCCTAGATATATATCCTGGCATTTGTCTGTATTAAAACAAATTATGTTTGAGTGGGCCCAGCTTACCAAGTGATCCGGATCAATCTGTACGACTACCCTGGCCTCCTCATTATTTACCACTTGGTCAATCTTCGTGTTACCTACAAATTTTATCGGCAATGATTTTATACTTACTTCTAGATCACTGATTCAAAGTTTGAATAGCCTCACGTCTAGAACAGATGCAGAGCCCCACAGGAAACAAACCCATTCACAAACTCCTCTTTGACAACTACTTTGAGATCTGTCAGTTAGCCATTTTTAATCCACATAATGTATGCTCTATTGATACTGTATAATGCTAACATTGAATCAGAATATCATGCAGCACTATGTCAAATGTCTGATAAAAAAAAAACCACTACATTTATTACATCCACAAAGTTACCTTTATCAACCAAACTTGTAATCTCAAAGAATAAAACAAGACTTATTTTCCATAAAACCACATTGACTAGCACTAATTATACTGCTATCCTTTAATTGTTCACTGATTCCTGTATCAGCTTTTCCATTATTTTCCCCAGGATTGATGTCAGGGTAATCAACCTGGGACACCTTGGAACATTCTGCTTGCCCTTTTTGAATACTGGCACATTAGTACTCTTCCAGTCTTCTGGAATTTCCTTGGTATTCCAAGATTTATTAAGAATTAACACAATCAAGCCAGGGATCTCCTCATCCAATTCTTTTAGGACTTGTAGGTGCAAGTTATCGGGGCCTGCTGATTTTAAAATATTTATCCCTAGCAGATGTTGTCTAATGTCATCCTCAGTTACTAATAGACTGGAAAATACTTCATCATCCTCATGTGACACAAGTATATCATCATGGTTCTTTACAAAAAAAAACCCAGAAATATTTATTGAACACATCCTCCCCCCCCAATATACTTCAACTCTTTATTGTCCTTAGTCCTGCCAGCTTTGGATTTTTCTCTGGTATCTTTAGCTTCCTTTATCAAATTTCTACACTTCAGAACTTCTATTTTATATCCAGTGCTATTTCCCCCTTCTCCATTTGGTATATATTCCTTTTTTAATTTCTAACTATTGCTTTCACTTAACACTGAACCCATTTGGGCTTTTAGCCAAAGTTGTCTTCTTTCTTGATTATGGACTCGTGGCTTTTTGGCCATCTAATAAACAAATCCTTTGAATGCAAAGCTATGCAAATGTCGAGTATTATTTATTTTACTCTTTTAAAATTATTTTTTCTTAATCAGAAAAAAGTACTTACCACAAGCAACCTTAGCATCTGGATCAACTCTGATATGGGCATCAAGGACAGCATCGCTGATCTGATCACACATTTTATCTAGGCAAAAAGTAATATATTATTTAGTTGTTCCCTGTAATAAATATTTTTTAAAACATAATACAAACATGATCTCCAGAAGTATGCCAGGTACTAAGAGCGTCAGGTAAGCACCACAAAGAAGGAGATGCACAAACAGAATTTCCTTCCCAATGGAAATTAGAGTTCTAGTTTTTAAGTACCTGCCTAGATACAAGTTTGGCAACCAAATACACAGAAATGGATTTATGCCTTTACTTTTTCCTCCTCCTCCAGTCCACAACAGCAGACACATCCCTGCCATCTCCCAGTACCTTAGGCGCCCCAAGTTATAATGAGTCACCAGGAGGGGAAATAGCCTTCTGTTTAAATGGTCTGAAAACTTAGTTTCAGGGAAAAACTCCACAGCCACTGAAAAAGGTATTGAATCAAATGGTAGCTAATCTTTGGGACAAGGACTATATTTTACTTTGTACCGTGTCTAGTACTCTAGGATACCCAATGCTTACTGGAGATTAACTTTTAAGCATTATCACTGTACAAATAACCTGGACAAAAAGGTGAGCTGTAACTAGATCAGAACTAGAAGAAAACGTTAAAGAAAAATACTATAATAGATTGTTTATAAATATGTAATTTATTAGAGCAGTGCATTGAGCATATGGAAAGACAGATTAGATCCAAAAATCTGTACTGTGTGTCAGCGGAGACCTGATCCAATTAAGTTTGTTGAAAATTTTATTTTCAAACTTCCATTTAATGTGAAAAACAATTCCTCTCTTTTCAGAGCTCTTCTACGGCAAGCAAATGTGGAATTTGAAGAGAAGATAAACAGGCTGTGATGTGATTATAACCAGGTGTTGAGGTAAGCAGGACTTAATATTCATAAGATAAAATTATTTTCTTCCTGTCTTCATCTGCAAACGGGGCAGGGATTTAAGGACATTAATTTCAACCAGAGGGTTTACATGCCCCTAATATTTGGAGCAAAGCTAACAACTATGCACAGTAACAGTATTTTTTTCTGTGACAGTAAAGCAGTGACTTAAGATTCAGAGGGTGAGCCCAACCTACACCAGGGACTTAAAGTCGGCAAGCATTTGGACTGAGTACCGTGCAAACAAAGAAGTATGTATTTATGCTGAAAAAATCACAACTTGACGTTTTAATGTTACTTCCGGCTTTACTTGAATTACTAGAAACATAGGGCCAGATTTTTTTAAAGTATTTAGGTGCCTAAGCACGCAGATAGATGAGCAGTGGAGTCTCTCCAAAGCACCTAGGCACCCAAAGTCCTATTGATGCTTCTGAAAAATCTCATTAGGAACCTACCTGCATCTTTAAGCATTTAAATATCTTTTAAAATCTGGGCCTTAATGCTTATCACCATTACTCAAGTTCAAATTAAGAACAGACCAAAATGAAAAGGAAGAGCACCAAGAATCTGTGAGCCACATAAATATAGTGAAGCTTTGGTGTATAATTTTTATGTCAGCACTCACAGGCTTGTTATGTTGGTGCATATGAGGTACAAGTACATTTCAGTTCAGTGAACAATAGTTCTGGGGTTGAGTGAACATATTCTGTAGCTGCAACAGGAAAGTGAATTTCAGTGTTTTGATCTTTTCATATTTGCTTTCCATGAACGATCTTGTGCTAACGCTTTAACAGTGCAAATACTCATGAAAATCAAGTAAGTGTGACTGACTATTGATCAAAGGCTAATTATTTTCCTTTGCTTGTCAGTTGTAAAACTTACAATTTGCTATTTCCTGCAAGGAAGTGCGCGGGCGTGGACTTCTGTACCTGTTCAGAGTCTTATTCAGACTCCATGCTAGCCTACTTACTTGTAGGATCAGAACCTTTGTCAGTTACATAAGTCAATCAGCCAGGGTGAGCTGGCGGACAAGAGATAATCGCTAAGCAGTTAATGAAGATATGACCAAGTTTGAAAATGTTGTTATCTGACATCAATATGTGAAGGTGAAATTCACTCAATGAATTATTTGCCTCTAATCTGAAGAGATGAAAGAATGTTTTCTAGCTAGCAGCAGACTTTGTTCTTTCAGTATGTTAGCTATCCTAAGATGCATTCTACATTGCTATGGAATGAAACAAGACAGACAGTAAGGCCACCAAAAACTCTGGGGGCCTCATCTTCTCCTCTCTTTATGCAGGAGGAGAGGAGCCCAGAGAGAAAGCAGACTGTAGGGAGCAGTGTTTCATGGCTTTCTTCCCACTAGAAGTCTCCATAAACCAAGTGCTTTTGTAGCTGTTCCAGCTGCTTGCATGTACTGCACACTAAAAACTGCACCTGCCACATAAAGGTGCCACCCTCCGGTGGTTTCCAGGGCTCCCTTTTCCAGGCTAGAGCCCTGTGTGGCATTATTTTTAAAATCCCGCTCCCATCCTGCCCCGCAATACCCACTCCCACCTGACCCCGCATTTTTTCTTGCATTTTTATCCCGCTCCCATCTGTAAAACCCTTAAATCCCACAAATCCCACAAGAGAGACAGATTCCCCCGTGCTATTAAAAAAAAAGTCAGTTAATATATTAATGGAATTCAGACACAATTTTTACAACAAAAGGAATAAAACAAATCTTGCTTAAACCATGTAGAAAATACTTTAAACCCTGTTATAATAGATATCAAATCTCTTTCTAGCCCTCACTTAAATTTAAGTATTAAAAACCTTCACTACAAAAAAGGAACACTTGCTTTACATGGCTGAAATGCTATTTATGACAAACTGTCAAGAAATGTAGTGTTTTCCCACAAATTACCGCAGTCTGTTTTGGGGTTTTTTGCCCACCCAATCCTGCCCGCAACAAAGTACATTCTACCCTGCCTTACATTTTGTTAGAAAAGGCAGCAGACATCGTTCATGGTATTATCACAGCTTTAGCTTTGAGTTTTCTCATCCAAGTGTTTAAAAATATAATGCTGCTTTACCGCCAATCTAAGGGACCGAGGCTCCTGTTAAAGACTCAGACTGCCTCGATAAACAATAGGAGCCTCTCTCCCATTAATGAGTCAAGCTCACTTAAATCTGGGGGGGGGGGGAGGAAAGCTGTGTGAAAAGCAGTTGAACTTAATAAACAGCAAGTACTGACAACATTTTGCCCTTCAACTGGAGCCCTACTAAGAGGTTAGGATTAGCCTATATGGCTCAAGGCAAGTACAGACTAGTCTTAAGGGGACCAGCATGAGGCATTCAGTAAGAGCGTCTGAAATACAGCTCCAATGGGCATTGCTGCTCATCACCAGTGCACTGAATAATTCAGAAGTCCTGGGGCACTGGGCAATTGCTGAAGGTATTGCTAAACTGTGAAATTCAGTAACTTCTAGTCTTCTAAGAACACCACATAGAAAATGCCTTTTTCCCCTGGTAAGTCTTGAAAATGAGATTCTATTCAATTTTGATCAAACCTATATTAATTATACTGAATGCTAAACAGAAAGAAGACAAACTTTTCCCAACAGAGAAAATTTGTTGTGAATGACTAAATATACACCGTGGCTGGTTCTTGTTTCTCTCTACTTGGTCAGAAAGCCAAACCAGATCAAGTTGCAGAACATGTTCTTTATCTAGCTGATAAAAGGAAAGACTTGACATTTTTACTTACCAGAATGTCCTTCTGCAACAGACTCTGAGGTAAAGAGAAATATCTTCTCTTTTTTTGAAGTGTTGCTTGACATGGTTTAGTATCTTTAGAGAGTCTGTAGGCAAGGAAAAACTGCAGCAAACTAGATTTCAGAGGAAACACAGAGAGAAAGTTGTGGGGAAAAGGTTAACTTATCTACGCAATTAGCTGATGTAATTGTTTCTGTGTGGTCACTAGTCAGAAGTTCAATAGATTTAGATTGCTCCTAGAGGAAGATACAGAGAACTGCTTCTGACAACAAGGAGGGGATTTTCAAAAGCCTTTTGTGTTTGATGCTCTCTTCTCCCACTGACTTCAATGGGAGTTTTAGCAATAACTTCAATAGGAACAGAGTCAGGCCAGTGCTGGGTGCTTTGCACATCCCTACACCAACTTTAGGTCCTATTCTTTCCTCTAAAATGGGCACAAGTGATATTAAGTGAAACATTTGGAGATTGTAAAGAGGCAGCATGCAGATTTTTTTTTGTCATGTAAGCATGAGGGGAAAATAGACTTTTCTCTTTGAGCAGTATAGTGTCCAAACGTATTTTGCTTCAATAATGAATTTTATAGAACAATATTCTGTATTTGGGAGAAAAAAAAACAACCTTTAAAAATTATAAACAGTTTTATTCTTTTTCTAATAACCTACAGATGGTAACTGATGGCCCTCTTACCAGTATTGTATTTGAGTCACTGGCTGAGTGAGAAATGAGATAATTAAAAGGTGACAATATACTAGGTTATTTTGGGGTCACTGGGAAAGACAACTGGCTGAGTATCAGCAATCCCTCAACAATGGGACTGTGACAAAGTGGGGATTCTCCCTTGTTATGTTGTATGTGAGCCTATATGAGTCTTACTGTTAAGCCTATGTGAGTTTTACTGTTTTGCATGAATACTGTGTGTGCCTCAGTTTCCCTGGGTGCTGCACCAATGCCTAGGTGGTGGGATGAGGGTGTGTGACTGTGGCTGAGACCCTCGGGGGCAGGTAAGGCTGCTCCAGCTGCCTGCACGTAGGCTATGGCCGGTGCCCTTTGTAACTTGAGATCCAGGAGGGGGATGCGACCAGGTGACACTTTGCCTGGGAAGTGAAACAAAGACCAGGCGGAGCAACAGGGGTGTCTAAGGTCGGGTCACTGGAAGCTGGGCAGTCTGCTTGGGGGGGGGGGACTGGAACGGGGAGTCCAGGGTGTCTGGCCCAGGATTCCCCCAAGATGGACTTGGCTGAAAGTCACTGATTTCTGGGCTAAGAAGTTCTGTTCTACACTGTGTTCCTGTCAACTAATAAACCTTCTGTTTTATGCTGGTTGAGAGTCACTGCTGACTGCGGAGTTGGGGTGCAGGGCCCTCTGGCTTTCCCAGCAGCCCCACCCGGGTGGACTCAATGCGGGAAGTGCATGGTGTGGAAGCGGATGCTGAATGCTCCGAGGTCAGACCCAGGAAGGTTGAAGCTGTGTAAGCTTCCTGCCCTGGTGACAGTCTGCTCAGAGAGAGGAGGCGGTTACCCCAGAGTCCTGACTGGCTTCATACAGAGCAGTTCCAGAGCATCAGACTCCCGTGACTCCGTGACAGAGACTAAAAGCAATGCCCTGCCTCAGAGGTTCTTAAAATTGTTGATGTTTAGGCCACGTCTGAAGAGGTGTCTGGTAGACCATCTCCCCTCCCATTCTGACCATGCAGACCGAGACCACCACCTTCCTTCCTACTTGCAATCCTACAATACCCTATAGCAATTTCAGCAATTGTTTATATAGACAAATACTATTTGGAAAGCATAGCCTTAAAGATAATTACGGTGACTGAATAAGCTCAGTCCTTTATGAAATGGTGACTGTACTTTGGCTAATTTCATTATGTGTATTGCAGTAACACCTGCAGGCCACAACAGGGATGAAGGCCCCATTATGCTAGGTGATGTGCACATGGAATAAGAGTGAGTCCCTGCCCCAAAGAGCTTAGAGATAAGATTTTCAAGAATTACCACTGACTTTTGGTGCCCCGATTTTTGGGTGCTCTGCCTGAGACACTTTAAAGGGGCCTGTTTTAGACAGCAGGTGCTCACTGCCTGAAACACAAGCCTCTAAGGTGTCTCAAGTAGAGCACCCACAAATGGAGGCACCAAAAATTACTCTGAAAATCTTGGTCTATTATTGGAGTTATCAGGGGAGTACACACAAATGAGGAAGGACAAACAGTGAACGGATTGCTCCTTAAAATACTAACCCATCGCAGCACACCAGTTGCCTAGCCATTGTCAAGTATTTCATATACATTGCTGCAGAGGAGGAGGAGCCTCTTTCGAGTTTTCTCCTTTCCTTTTACTGATTTTACTAGAAAACAGATGTCCCTGTTTAGAAGGTAAGAGCCTCCAAGAGGTTTTCGGACCTGCTCAGTGTGATCCATGTGGTGCCAGCTGAATTCTAGGCATGGAAAACACTAGTTTAAGGTGGCAGAATTTTATTCCCTCCCTGGGATTTTGTCCCGTGGAATCAGTGGGGACATTAGTGTTTGTCCTTTTCGTTTTACCTTTTCCTCCATCCCTCCTTCCTTTCTCTTCATCTCTTACTTCTTTTGTCCTTTCTCCTGTTCCCCTCCCACCACCAGGAGTGGTGTGTGTGTGTGTGTGTGTGTTGCTGGGGGTGCTCTTCACCTCCCCTTGTGGGAAGTTCATCCAAAACTGTGGGATTGAAATAGTGCTTGGACTCCACTGACACTAGATGCTGCCATCCTGTGGCTTAGCATTAGTGTCTGGGATGACTTGGGGCAAGATCTCAACCTCCCCGCAACCCACTTCACTGCTGCCAGAATCCCTCCTGCACCCCCTGCTAGAGCCGCCTCCCTGCCCAACCTTTGTGGGGGTGGAGAAGAGGGTTCTGAGAACTTGAGCTGGGGTTTGGAGGTTGGAACAGCTGTCAAGGGCACTGAGGTGGAGGTAGCAGGAGCTCACCCTACAAGGAGGGGGGTTGGCACTGGAGGTTACTAGAAAGGAGAAGAAGACTCCATTCTGGGGTTCAGGAGGTGAATCCATCCCTCAGTGGTGGGCAGGTGCTGGGTGGAAATACTGCTGGTTCCAGGTGCCCTTAATTCCCCGATTCCTCGGGGAGTTTGAGTCTCCGACAGGTTCTCGTTCCCTTGCAGCAGGAGGACGTCACGGCCAAAGTGATGCACCAGCTCCGCATCATCCGGCACTTGCGCCAGGTGCCTGAGGCACTGCAGGGGCTGAGCCTCTGAGGCCACCAGCAACTCCCGCTCCCTGCTGCAGGTACTGCTCTGGCTCACTGTAAATGGGGAGCTAGTGGAAGGGGAAATGGAGCCCCCTGGCACTCACTAAAAGGGAAAGTGGTGGATTCTCCATCTCTTGATGTCATTTTATGAAGACTAGATGCCTTTCTGGAATGTGTGTGCCCAAAAAGTAACTATTGTACTATACAGGAAGCCTATGATATGCAGGGGGTTAGATTAGATGCTCTAAAGGTCTCTTCTGGCCATAAAGTCTACTAATTTTGTTAAAACTGAGTGTAGCATTGGGAGCAGCCTCTGATGTTTTACTGTCTAGC